TTTTTGCAGTCTGACAGTTTGATAATGTGCTAAAAAAAGAGACAAGTTGAGAACAATAACTTCTCCATATCCAAACACAGTGCATCAGTGCTTCTATAGGCCTTTCACACAGCAGACTGTTTTTACTTGTCATAGCGCTAAAAGCACAGGTGTTACTAACAACAGCTCTGTTGTGTTCAAGTGTTTGTGACAGTGAGCCAGTAGGAAAGATGCCAGAGACCTGAAATCAAAGCAACTAAATAGAATTCATCATTAATTTCATTTCACTTAATAATATGAGAGGCAGAGCCCTGACACCAGTGTGCATGCTTGGATTTTTCCTCTGTACTGTAAGGAGAAATTGAGCGAATTTTTGTATGACCAAAGTGTAATAGGGCCATCCCTTAAGAGGTGCAACAAAGTTAACAGAGAATAACAGAAATGTTGTGTTAAGTATACACACCCACTCTCCTGTGCAGAGGTATAATCTGGCAAAATAAGTAAAAACACTGAGGGTTTTCCAGGGCGTGTAGGGCCTTAAAAATCTATTTTCAGTGTGAAAAAATGAGGCAGTTGAATTCCCGCTTCTTATTTTGAGACATGTTGGTGGTGTGAATAGTTATTTGATTTAGTTTTCAAACAATAAGAATAGCAAAAGAAAAACCCTGTGACAAGCTGTTGTATGCTGACAAATACTAGCTACTAAATACATTCATATGACTCATCAGGGCCTGTGTGCTGTGAGTTATACTGTATGACTCTGGATGTGTCACCCTTTGTTGGATTTACAGTCCACACATCTCAGCTTTATTCTAAAATCATCTGTTCGTGACATTTATTATATCACAATAATATCCATGAAATTTACAAGTTAAAGGGTAACGCTGTTTTCCCACATGTTTGTGACTAAATGACTAATGGGAACAAACATTTTTAAACTGGTCCAGTATTGAGCGAGAGGGCTGTAGTAGGAATTAGTGAAACAACATTAAGAAAGAACCGTTACAGAGATAGACCTTTGTGTCAAATAGTAAGAACCTTTTTGTTTGATCTGAAACTGCCCCAAAATTGCCATTGCCAAACCCACCAGACTCCATTTAAATAAATAGTAATTTTAGTGTGCATAGAGCATATTTTATTACGATAAAATTACTGTTTATTTAAATGGAGTCTGGTGGGTTTGGTGATGGCAATTGTTTTGGGTCAAACACAAAGGACCTCACTCTTAAACAAAATGGTCTATCTCTGTAGGCATTCTTTCCATTATATTGTCAGACACTAAGAATAACAATCTGAGCCTGTCAAAAATTGACGATGCACAATTGCCCCAAGTGGTAACATTGCAGCCTGTTTCACTGCAGATGGCTGGAGTGGTCCCACTAAATATGGAACCAGTTTCTAAAACTGTTGTTGCCATTACCTACTTGGACACAAAAACATGAGAAAATGGGGTCCAGGTTGAAAAATACAGAAGCTTCCCTTTAAAGTCTTCATTGCATGATGTCTTTTTTAAAGGCGGTTTTTCATTTTGATAATTGTTTTGTATGAGTGGAGTCTTGTCTTTGTTAAGTCGTGGATATGTCGTTTTGAAACAACTCTACTTGCAATTCCACTGAACTTTAACCTTTAGTCTTTCAGAGCAGAGTGTCTTCAAGCCCCTAAAAAGTTTTATTTTCAGTTTTATAACTATTAGGCCTTAAAAGTCATTTGAGTAATTGCTACAAACATTTCTTCTGATCTAAAATCTAAAATGTGGCACCTCAGAGGGGATTCCTGGTTCGAGCAGAGTTTGCATGTTCTCCCTGTGTCAGCGTGGGCTTTCTCCAGGTACTCCAGCTTCCTCCCACAGTCCAAAGACATGCAGGTTAATTGGATGACTCTAAATTGTCCGTAGGTGTGAATGTGAGTGTGAATGGTTGTCTGTCTCTATGTGTCAGCCCTGTGATAGTCTGGTGACCTGACCAGGGTGTACCTCGCCTCTCGCCCAGTGTCAGCTGGGATAGGCTCCAGCCCTCCCTGCGACTCCCAACAGGATAAGCGGCTACAGAAAATCAACGAATTTAATCTAATGTCATTTATCCATCTTTAAATTTAATTTTGTCAAAATAAGTCAAGGTCCTCAAGGTTCACATTTTTAGTATGTACAAATCTTTAAACCAACCACTGAACCTCAAACTTTTTTATTTTATACTTGGACTGACCTGTTGGCAAAATGTAGATTAACCTAACTCATTTTAATAACCATATTCATACATCAAACCTACCTCTGCATCAGACTACATAATACTATTTGCCTTTAGTGCTTGAGAAAGTCTTTAAAAGCACTAAGTTTAAGACAGAGTTTTGTGTATCTGTGCCTGTTGTCATGTCACCTGTTTTGTTTTACTCCTGTTGTCTGCCTGTGTCTCAGTTTGGCAACATGTAGTGGCATTGCATTACTGTTTTCTGCTTCACTAATAATGTACCAGCAGAGGGAGCTCATTGTTTACAGATGGTTGATGTAATTTCATGGCTGTGAACTGTGACTCTTTGATCTGGAGGAGGAGATTTTTCCCTCCAGGATGTTTGCTGTGATTTTTATTGAGGTTTTTAAACTGCTTGTGGTTAAATTCTGCCTTTGTTAATTGATTCGAGTGTAGGCTGAGTGTTGTTATGTGATGTCTGTATCTGTATTTGCTGAAGTCGATCTCCTCAGTGAAGGTAGATTAACCAGTCTGTCTGTAAACATGACTCGACCTTCACTGTCGTCTCCTTGGAAACACGGCAGATGTGAAATGTTGCTTCAGTCCTCGAACCTTGTCGTTCTCCCTCTGTGTTATTATTACTCCGAACAAAAAAACCAAACACCTTTCTTACACTTTAAGAGGTACTTGTTGCCCTTCAGTCTGAAATGACTGTTGTAAGTTTCATAGAAATGTCGGTTGATGTCGTGACTATTTTTTACTGCTGAGATTTTAAGTGTCTGGCTGGTACTGTTTTGTTGTTGGGCTCTGCAACACTTTGTGTTCTCAAGCCATGAAATCAAATGTTAAACTAGTATTACTGTACTTTACTTGTGATGGTTGCCCTTCATGGCTTATGATTCAGTGGGAACAATTGGCTTTATTTTTTGGCTGGTTTTGGTTCTTGTTCTTTGGTAGAAAATATGATTTTTAAATTTATGTCAGTGGCCACCTCTGGATTGGGAGAGAGTTACTGCCTCAAGCGAAGGAGTATATCGAGGTCTTGTTCATGAGTGAGGGCAGAATGGAGCGTGAGATGGATGTGCAGTTTGGTGCGGCGTCTGCAGTGATGCAGGTGCTGCGCCGGACCGTCGTGGTGAAAAGGGGGCCAAGATGGAAGGCGAAGCTTTCGATTTACTGGTCCATCTATGTCCCAACCCTCACCTATGGTTATAAGCTCTGGGTAGGGACCAAAAGAGTGAGATCGCGGATTCAAGCGGCTGAAATGAGTTTCCTCCGTGTGGTGGCTGCGCTCAGCTTAGAGATAGGGTGAGGAGCTCGGACGTTTTATCATGAGATACGTAATCCCTCCAGCATGTTCTGGGTCTGTCCCGGGGCCTCCTACCAGTGGGAAACATCTCCAGCTGGAGGCACCCAGGAGGATCCTGATCAGATGCCCGAACCACCTCAACTGACCCCTTTCGACACCCAACAGCAGCGGCTCTACTCCGAGCTCCGCTCAGATGTCCGAGCCCCTTACCCTATCTCTAAGGCTGAGTCCAGCCACCCCACGGAGGAAACTCACTTCAGCTGCTTGTATCTGCGACCTCATTCTTTCGGTCATTACCCAGAGCTCATGACCATAGGTGAGGGTTGGGACGTAGATGGACCAGTAAATCACAACTGAATGTAGCCTTTTAATTAGCAAGCAGACATAAAAACAGTATCAATCCTCACATCTAATACCCTTTTTCCATTGTTACTCTTGGCCACGTCGAGGAAAGCCAAGCCGCACCAAAGATGGACCTTATCTAGGGTAGGTTTAAAAGCCGGGCCGCATGCCCTTCAGTGGGTAGCAGTGACAACAGGCTCTTACTGTACCTCTGCAAACAGCTCACCTCCAACTTCTTTTACCTGCCCTGCTGTGGAAAAACACATGCAGCAAAGATAACAGGGGACGTCATCACTCAAGACAAGCCATCATCAGTTGAAGACACATCTTCAGGAAGGTGGCCCTGTTGTAATGGAAGTGCAAATCCCTGCTGCGCTGAGCTGACGGCACAAACCAAGCCAAGCCAAGCCAGATCATAACTGTTGAAAAGGGATATCAGTCTGAACTATTACTTTAAAAAAACCTCAGGCATTAGAATTTAAAAAACGTCAAAGATAATACAGTGAAGCTAAAAGACTTTCTATTGTGGTCCCAGTGAGGGATGAATATCAATTATCCAGCTTCAGGACTTGAATATATATTAGAGTTAATTAATTCATGAAATCCTTCATATATTCCTTTAACTGTAAGCCTCTTTCAATTAGGGAATATATCGCTGCACTGCACCCAAAATCAGACATACAAGTTTTGACAGGAAGAAAAAAAAATCCAACATAAAGAGCTTTAAAAACTAGACGGCAGCAGCTGTCTTTTGTAGTCAGAATCATAAGAGATTTACTGAGCTGGATCTTCTTAGGATGTTTTAAATAATGACCAAGATGTTTCTCATATCTGTGAGATGAAGATTATTTAGACCTGAACATGCTCCTCCTAAACTGATAACTCAGAGATCAAAGACTAGAGTTTGTTAAACCATCAAAAATACTTTCTGAAGCTACCGCAGGATGAAATTCTCTCCGTATTATATCCAACATCGGTTTTTACAACATTAGATAACGCACTACTGTAAATGCTGCAGCCTTGGGGTGTATTTCCTGGTGACATCACAGGTTAAAAATCTTATTATTCTTCAGCAAATGTCAGCAAATCCTCACTGAGCCTGTTACAGATCACAGGAAGAGCATATGTGAATTGTGCTTCCAGGAGGTTATTTTCGTTTGAGCCAAAGAGAAATGAGTGGGAGAGTGAGAGAGAGATGTCCTCATCACGACACTGCCAAGAAAGCTGAGTCATGTAAGATGAGGGTAAAAAAAAAAAAAGCCACCTCACAGAATATTAAAAATGGATAAGACGGGGACGTTTATAAACATAATGAAGAAGAGGAGAGAGGGATATTTAAAAGGATCTGTCGGGTATCGAAAAAGGTTTGTTGGCAGTGAGTTTGGGATGAAGGCGGATAAAGACAGCTGTGATAGAGTGAGAGTTGAGCGAGATTTTGAGGCGTTAATGTGACGAGGCGGAGCAAAAAGGGCAAGCATGAAAGGAGGTGGGGGGGAGTGATAACGTGGCAAAAGATGGGAGAGGCTGTGTCATTGTTGGAGAGCTCAGATATGTGGACATGTTGTATACACACAGGGAGGCAGAGAGAGAGGCTGGTGCAGCGGCAGGAAGCAGCGGGAGGAGTCGCGAGAGGAGAGGCGAATAAAACTCCACGCCCCTCTCTGCCGAGCATCCATTTACTGTGCAGCTGATGTCTGCTGCTTCACTGGATGCGTACAGACTCAGCAGTAACAGAAGACAAAAAAAAACCCCACAGTGCACTGGGGCTCTGGTGGATTTGGATTACAGCACTCAGGAGTATATCAACCTGCCACTGTGGAGAACAAGAGGCACAGGAAGAGGTCTGTTGCATCATTTTTTTTTACAAGAAATATCCACATTGGATACCCTCAGAGGGAAGGAGTATTTATAACACAGAGTCTCACTGAAGCTGCTCTGTGCTGCGTGAAAACTGTCTGAGGAGGATCTGAAGAATTCATCCAACTGAGGAGTGGCGTAAGAAAGCTGCAGTCTCTCCAGTTTATCTACCTGGGATCCTACAGGTTGCTCTCAAGCTCTCAAGTTTTTCAAACATGACCACCATGCAGAAGCTGCTGCAGCTGCCGGTGAATGCGGTGAACATCGTGAAGACGGTGCAGAGTCAGGTCCAAGGCCAGGAGGAGGACAAGAGCCCCGTGCTGACCCCTGACAGCGGGCAGCAGGCCTGGTACAGTGCCCTGCAGCCCGACGAGCTGCGCCACCTCCGATCTGGGGGTACAGGAGGAGGAGGAGGCGGAGGTGGAGGAGGAGGCGGTGGAGACAATGAGGAGCGAGCACTATCGGAGGAAGGTGGTGGAGGTGGTGGCAGTTTCCAAACTCAACCTTTGCGGTAGGGAAATCCAGGAGGGTCGAGACCTGTTCAATCTTTCACACTACAGTTCACCCTAAAATCGAAAATACATATTTATCCTCTTACCTGTAGTGTTGTTTGTTGATCTAGATTATTTTGGTGTGAGTTGCCGAGTGTTGGGGATATCGACTGTAGAAGTGTCTGACTTGTCTTAAATATAATGGAGCTAGATGGCACTCAGCATGTGGTTCTCAAAGCGCAAGTAAAAAAATAAATAAATTGGAAAACTCATCAGCAAATTCAAAAAATTATGACCAAGTCACTCAAGATAATCTACAAACCTTGTTGTGAGTAGTATTTATGTAGGAACTATTGTCTTTCTCCCGAACTACACCTGCCAGCTGTATCACTGTGCAGAAGGAAACGTGCATCTACTCATGGACAAGAGGCAACAAGAGATTTAAACATAAATTGCATCCTCCTTGACTGACCTGTAATGTTAGCTAGCTCAGTGGTGCTAGGTGAGCTAGCAGCACATGCACACTTACCTCTGTCAGGTGATATGGCCGTGGCTCAGAGGTAGAGCGGGTTGTCCACCAATCTGAGGTTTGGGGGTTCCATCTCCCGCTCCTCCGGTCCGGACTGGAGGAGTGACGTATCCTTGGGCAAAATACTAAACCCCAAATTGCTTCCGATGGCAATTCACTTGGTGTGTGCATGTGAATGGTTACCGAGTACCAGGTGGCACCATGCGTGGTAGCCACGGCCACCTGTGTGTGAATGGGTGAATGTGACTCAGTAGTGAGTGGTCAGAAGACTAGGAAGGTGCTATACAAGTACAGTCTGTGAATTATCTTGAGTAACTGGGTCGTGATTTCTGCAAAGAGACATTGCTATTGAGTTTTTCGAATGTATTTTTTTTGGTGCTTTGAGCACCACGAGCCGAGTGCCAACTAGTTCCATTGTACTAAACATAAATGCTCATGATAATTTCTCAGATCCCAAAGTGACAACTTGCGTTTGCTTCTTTTGTCCAACCAATAGTCCAACACCCAGAGAATCTTCATTTAGCACAGTGGGTCCCAACTGGTGGGTCATGGTCCAAAAGTGGGTCACAGGTCCATTCTGAATGGACTGCAAGTGACTCACAAATGTGCCGAGTTTGTAAAAAACACTAAAAAACTTTGTTTTTAGGTACAGTTTGCTGGTGCTGGTGAATTTCCAGCACAGAGCTTTTATTTTGAAGTGCTGTTTTTGAAGTGCAGAGACGGCAAACTAGCTCGATGACATGGCCAAACGCAAGTATGACTCATAACATATCAAACTTTGTGGACTCTGAACTAATGACTAAGGAGAAATCTGGACCCTGTGTCTGGACCAGTTGGGAACCGATGATTTAGTACATGATTTTATCAAAGAAGAGAAAGAAATACAGCAGATTATCACATCTAAGAACATGGAACCAGGAAATGTTTGACATTTTTGCTTGAAAAAAGACTAAAACAATTACTAGATAATCGAAATGGTCGGCAATTTATTTTCTTTTATCAACTAATCAATTAAGCGGCTATTTGTTGCAGTTCCAGTAGACACTGCTTCAGTTTTAAGGGTCACAAGTCAAAACAGGTGGGAACCACTGGTGTTAGATGTCATAATGCCCTAAAGAACCCAAACAGAAAAGTGAGGAGACTTGGTGGAGAAACAAAAGAAAGAAGGGTTGGTTCCAGTTTACCTACAATAATATACTATACTGTGTGTAGCTTTTTTATAATTCATAAAGATCCATAGCTTTTCTGCGTTGGTGCTGTTATCCATAAGACATGTATTTCCATATTTTTTGATATCATGCAAAGGCTGTAGAAGCTGCTGTACTCTTTAATTAATTAGACTGCAAACCTTTCAAACGAACATCAAAAGTGGTGCTCCTCAGAAATAGATTTCCTCAAAGAGAGCTATAATTACACTTTTTGGATTTTATTGGGTCGTACCTATAAACTAGATTATGCTCTTTTTACAGGATGAGAGCTTTGCTGAAGTGCAGTCCTGGTTGGTTAAAGCGTAGGCATATTTTACATCCGTCACCAAGAAGAAAAAATAAAAAAACAAGAAACTTTCAAAGTCTCTGCTGAGAGAGTCGGCTTATGTAAAACAGCCTGCTTATAAATGCAAGCTGCAACTCTTCGATCTTTCACTTTCCTCTGATTCATGCAAATACGTTTTCCTATCTACTTCTTTTTAATGTTGTCGCAGCCTTGCAGAGCTCTGTTCTTGGCGAACAACATGACATCTGAAGTTGTATCATTGAACACGGGAGGCCTGTACCTCCATGGAGACTTTGGAGCTTCAAAGTCGTGCTGATCTCTTGGCTTTGGTGCCAGGTAACCCGACCGCTGGTGTGCTCTGTTGTACCACGAGGGGTTAAATAATTCAGGGGTGTTTGTAAATTCAGCTGTTGTTCGGCAGGACGGGACAGAATCCAGAGAAACGAGAGAACCAGTGTTGGTGTAGAATTACAGCGGGCCCTGTGGGCATGAGCAGGGACGTATACACCTAGTCAGATGGTCGTTTTTCCTGTAGGTGCTTCAGATGAGGGTTTATTTCTCAGATAAGTCACTGAGGTGGCATTTATAGTTGGTTAAATACATCATGATGCAGCAGATAGACTGTGAAGCACTCGGGGCTGTGTTTTGTCTCCAGGTCCATTCATAACTTTGAACCTTTTAATTCACTGAGCCATTAAATCTTTCTCTTGAGCCGCTGTATCATGAGCTCTGACAGATAAAATACTGGAGACTTATAGTGAATAAAATAATGAAATAGAGTTTTCCTCCTCTTACAGGCTGTTAAATTGTTAATGCCCAATGTGCCATTGCTACTAACACTGTGACTTTTACTAATAATGCATGTGTGACTTGTCTGTGGTTGCAAATTGCTGATAATTCCCCTCTGACAGGTTTAATGTTTGGCCACCGCCACAGCAAATGTAATCCATGTTTTGGAGTCCGGTTTTAATTAGATCTTCAAAAGGCCTGTTTGTCATCAAACAAGCCACACAAATCCCTGTCATGCTACTAATTAGTGAGGCTCATCAAGGTGGTAAATTGACACAAGCCGTAAAACAAATTAAGCATTTGGTTGGAAAGTTTCTCTACCGTTACATATTGTGAAAGTGACAGGTGAGTTTTGACATTTAGCCGTCAAGTTTGCCTGCAAGTCATAATTTAGTTTCTTGTTTCCTGGAATGGCTGTTGATATTACACAAAGGAGTGATGTCAGCTCTTTGCTTTCAGCTGTAGGTTCTACGTGTAGGGAAAGAGAGAGTGAGAGCACAAAGAACAAGGTCAGAGCGACATCATGTAGCAGCAGTTGGGTTCAGCGAGTTTGCTGTCGAAGGGAAATTGTGCCTCTTTTACAGTAGATTCTTCCCAGTAAGAAGCTCAGACAGTAAAATGTGGTGTTTACAACTGATTGTGATTAACTGTAGATTTTTTGGGATGGTATTGGCGTTGCAATAGGGATGACAGTGACTACGTTTACAGTACATGCATGCTAATATTCCAGAAATGACAATATTCTGAATATGAGACGATCATGTAAACAGCGTATTACATCCCAAAAAAGTTTTTTTCCAAATGCATTTTCCCGATTAGGACATATGGGATATGCTGGTATTATTCAGGTTTCAAGAGCATTTTTCGGACAACACCAACCTTTTCAAGAAGGTGGTTGAAAGAATGAAAGAGGGATGCTGTGTTCACATGTTCGAACAACATGTTAGTTAATCAAAGTATGCATGGCTGCATGGAGACAGGAATATCAGTGGATTGTTAATTTTTATTTGCCATGCAAATAGCTTAGTTAGAATATTGTCTTTTTCGTAATAAGAGCAAAAAAACGTGATATTTGGTGCATGCATAGTCATGGTGCTTTGGTCCGGACTGAAATGTCTCAACAGTACTGGCTGAATTGTCCTGACATTTGCTACAGATATTCATGGTGCCCAGAGGATTAATCCTAATGCCATGTTACCCCGTCAGGATGAACTGAAGAAACTTTGGTAAACCCAAAAGGTTTTATTTAGTAGCATCATCAGATAAATATTTAAATTTCTCCAACACTTTTGGTCCATTACCTGCTATACCAATGAAATTACCAGTGCAACCAGTACTTTTGTGTTCAGTGCTAATTAGCAAAGGTTAGCATGGAAAGGTCTAAGCTAAGATTGTGAACATGGTTAACAATATGAATGCCAAACATATCCTCTTACAGTGGTTCAAATGAATAATGAATTATCACCCAATGAATCAGTGCCACAACCAGTTAGTCTATGCAAGGAAAAGAATCATGGTTGGGCAACGTCACTTTACGTTGAGTACGTAAAGTGACGTACGTTAGGTTTAGGAGAGTAAAGTTACGTAGGTTAAGTTTAGGAGAAGAATCATGGTTGGGTGATGTCACATTAAGTACTCAACATGAAATTATGTACAATAGATTTAGGATAGTAAAGTTACGTAGGTTAGGTTTATGAAAAGAATCATGGCTGGTAGTCATAAAGTTACGTACTTAACATAAAGTTATGTACTTAACATAATGTGACAACATACCTCAACTCAAAGTTCACTTGGATTGGAACACGAACAGCGGTCTTGTGGGGTAAATTCCTGTGTTTGACAAATCGACCACCCCAACATGCCTCAGGTTTACAGACAAAATGCTTGTCCTTTGCTAGAGACGTTTTCCCCACAAAACCAACATACTAACGTTATTAGCATAAGCTTATGACATTCAAAGGAGGAGGGATGAAATATTTTATATGCTGAACAGTCTGTTTAAGCAAAAGTAGCTGTGATTTAAATGAAGGAATCCTGAAAATGGAGTAATTTTGCTTCCACACCTCCCAGTTCAAGATATAGTAGCCAAAATGTGCTTCATAAACAGTCAAAGAACCAAGACAGATAACAAATCTTCCATTTAAATTTTGTGTCTAACCTTTAATAGTTTGGCCCTTTAAAAGAAAAAAATACTCCAGGTTTGGAAAC